GCCACCACAAAAAAGAGCTGCTATAAATATTTTTGTACATGTGGGTCCTTTTCCCATTTGTATGAAGATCTTTTATTTTTTTAGCATTATTGCTTTTTGCTTCTTTTCTTCCAGGTTGACCTTCACTTCAGTATCTTTGTGTTCCAAAACCCTCTTTTTAGCTTTTTTGGAGAAATCTGCCATTGTGGATTCAAGTCTACTAAGAATGTCAGTGAATACTAGAAGTTCTGACATTTGTTCCCCTCTGACTACTTCTCTTATGGTTTTCATTTCTCTTTTGAACCATTCTGGAATATTTTATTGTTCTGTGATCCCTTAAGCTTTCATTGGGTTCTGTGTTTCATCAGGACTCAGTTCAATTTTCTATGTCCTATAATATTTAAGAGAGCTTCATAATCTCTTTGAGGATTTAATACTCATCCTTTCTTTTAACTTTAGCAGCCTCAATGTTTATCTGAGCTCTAGGCTTTTTCCCCAATAAATTTTTATTTATTTCATCAAATATTTCCCAATTAAAATTTTTAACGTCATTTAAAAAAAATTGAGTTCCAAATTCTTTCTTTCCCTCCCACTACTCCCTCCTCCTTATTGGAGAATTTAATTTTCATCTGCCTTTGTCCCTACCCTAAGTGGTTTTTGTGGGGGACGAGACTGACCCAGACTAGATTTCTATTCCCTTTCCTTTAGGGTTTATCAGTCACTTTTACTGGGTCCTTGACCTACATGTCTTTCCTCTCCTCTCCTCTCCCACCCCCATGTGACTAGGCAGAATCAGTGTTTTTGCTTGTTGCAGTGGGGTAGGATGTGCTGACAAAGTCTCCATAGGAAGAAGGTCCTGGGTGCAAACCTTTGGGTTGATTTGTCCATGCCTGCCAGAGCAGCATGGAGGCTGGTAGGGGTGGGGTGCTAAGCCAGCACATTGAAGATTAGGGTTCTCCAGTGTTAACTCGTAAGGCTTTTATCTTGTCCTGTGGATTTAGCTGTAATTCCTCTACCTCTATTGCATAATTCCTTTTGGGAGTGGAATTGAGAGTTAATGGAGACTGGAGAAAATGTTCAGTCCATCATCTTGTTTGGTCATATGACCAAGAAGTTGACAGATATTTCTGAGACAAATATGTTTCCTTTAGCCAAAGCAGTGTTGGGGGAAGAATCAGTAGAAGAAGCAGGCTACTTTATGAATTCTCTTGAATCTCCTCCTCTTACTAAGTAGTTATAGGCTAGATCATATTCCACTTCTGATAAGACATAGTCTTCACTCAGTAAACAATAGCTAATGATGGTGCTCCAAAAATAATAATAAAGAAATTATTATAAAAATTATAATAGAGATTTTTCCTCCTCTTTTAAGAGCTAATAGATAACATAGTATTTGGCTCCTCAATGCCAGGTTCTGGAGACTGAAGCTATGATGTAGCCTCTATAAATATCTGTTGATAGAAAAAAAAAAAAGCTAATAGTTTCAAAATCCTTCTCAAGCTATACTGAGATTCCTGGCCCAGAAGATTCAAGCGTGAGAGGCTGATGTGAATTTAGGGTAGAAAGAGGTACATCCTTGCTAGACCTAATGTGCCTTTGCTTCAGTAATTAACACTCCTCCAAACAATTCTAGATTTCATCAAGAAACTCAGCCTGGAGTCTTTGTCCCCATGATAAATGAAGAGATTCATAGCTTTGAATTCTCTGTAGCCAGAGCTAAACATGAGATGTTTTCAAACTAAGAAAGGAACTCACAGAGCAACTCTTTAGTTGGATGTGTAGAACACTTGATAATTTTTCTCATTTGTTCAGAATTCTTTCAGTGCAAAGACTGCTGGGTTTGAATCCTAATCTACTTTTTCCTTTGTATGTGACCTTGGACAAGTCACTTTAGCTCTCTGGGCCTCAGTTTACTCATCTGTAAAATGAAGAGGTTGGATTTAAATGATGTCTGAGGTACCTTCCAGCTCTAAACCTGTGACCCTTAGGAATCTTTGTAAAACATATTCGAGGGTACCATGAACATACTGGTCTTTGTTTAAAAAAAAAGAAGTCAGATGATATCTATGATACTGGTTTGCTATAGGCCAAAAAGGCAGATAAGAAATAGAGGCACCAAAGACACCTGTTGAATGCTGTAGGTGAAGTTTTCTTCACTTGCTGATTCCATTCTGTGCTTGCTTTGTCATGGCAGTGTATTAGGTCCCTAAATGGCTGTACCAGTTTCTACTTAACTACACTATCTTCAGAGTAGGAAGTGAGATTGAAACTTGAATCTCTTACAACTATTCCTTTGTGTAGCTGGGCCCTATGAAGTAGTAACATCTTTTCTCTGTCTCTCTGTCTCTGTCCTTGTCTCCCTCTTCCCTTCCCCTTCCTCTCTCTCCCTCCCTCTCATGTTTTCCCATTCTCTCTCCCCTGCCCCTTCCTTCCTCTCCCTTTCCCTATCCCCTCCTCCCTACATGCCTTCCCCTCTCTCTCCTTTTTCCTCTTCCTCTCTTTTTCCTCTCCCTGTCTTCCAACTCTCTTCCTTCTTTCCCTCTTCTCTCCTGTTCTTCTTCTCCCCTCTCCCTCTCTCCTCCTCCCTCTTCTCTCCTCCTTCTCCCTCTCTCCCCCCCTTTCCTTCTCTTCCCCTGTCTTCCTTTCCTACTCTCTCTCCTTTTCTGTGTCCTCTCTCCATCTCTTCTTCTCTTCCTCTCCCCCCTCCCTCTTCTTCCATCTTTCTCTCCTCTCAGCTCTTGAGATCCTGCTCTTTTTCTCTATCTCGTGAGGCTTCTTCCATGACCATGGTAACTGAGGAATCAAGGGGATCTGTTTGGATTTGATCCATACTTTCTTAGAACTGGGACCAGAGTACAAAAACCTGACTGAGTAAAGTTAAGGATGGGAAATGGGGTCTAGAACAACTTTGTAGCTTTAGGTCAGGGACATAGAACATGCCTTGTAACCCCTTAGGTAGAAATTTGGCATTATTGATTTTTCCCTCTGGCTGGGCTGGTTCTCTGAAGTGAACATTCTGTTCTGTATTATGTTTTGAGGACTGAGGGTTGAAAAACCTCTCAGGGTCTGCCCTAGAGGCATATCTTTAGTTATTCATTCTTTTTCAGTACCTTTCTCCTTCGAAGGGCAGTTGATTGTGTTTATAGCAGATATGGCAAATGAAATGAGGAAAAGGACAGAGATCTTCTGTAGATATCCTTCCCACAGGTGGTCAATTCCATCTTGAATTTGTGCTCTCTGTTCTCATGGGCCATTCTAATCCAAAATTCTATACCAGAACACTTACATAGGCCCATAATCTTTCTGTCTTTTTAATCATTCCTATTTTTAAATTTGTTAAATCAGAGGGTTGTCCAGTTGTTTTTTTTTTTTTTTGGCTTTTCTTCAACAGGCATTTATATGAGGTCTAAAGAAGAGGCTTGTTGTACAGTTTAGTTTATAGGAATAACATTTGTGATTGGAAATGGGAAGAGGAGTTGGGAAAGGAGTGAGCCATTGTTTGAAGGGTCTGAGCTGGCTGATGTGATTAAAAGTGACAGCACTAGCAGGGAATCCTTCTGCGATGCATGCCACAAGATATTCACAGATGATATTTCTATTTTTAACTTAAAATTTTTTTGGGGGAGGGGATGGGGTCACAGTTCTGGCCCTGCCCCTTACAGCCCATCCAGATGGTAGAATTGGGCCACAGCTGCTGAAGCTTGAGCTGTCAGTGGGTGGTAGGGGTAGGGAAAAGGGAGGGCAGGGCAGTGTGCCAGCCTGGGCCCAGGAAGCCCCAGCTGGGGGAAGACAGAATGATCTATCTCCTACCCCCCCCATTAACCCTTGTTGTCCCAGAACAGAAGAAACTCCTATCAGGATTATAGATGGCTGGTTTTGGAATGCCACTTGACAAAGGTACTTTACTCTGGTTGAGAGATAGGGTTGGGGTAGGTTGGAATTGTTCACCTACTTCTGTGGGAAGCATTTGAAAATGTCCAGGCCCCCTTACTTTTCATCATCCTTGTAAGTATTTGTTAGCTCTGCTCCTTCCTAACTGCATTGCTTTTGTCCCTCATCCCATGATCATAGGCAACATGAAGTAGACACTCTCTCCTTAGGTATAGGGAATAGAAAGAAGAGATGGAGTTCATTCGCTGATTTTTAGGTCTGTGGTTTACTTTCTTTTAGAACTGTTTGTTTTATGTCTGGATTAAAGCAAAGGGAGTCATGAATTTGAAGTCTTGTCCACTTGGCTCCTTCTTATCATATGAGATGCCCATAGTCTCCTATGTGATGATACTTGTGAACCTTTCTTTATGCTGTGAAGAGTCTCACAGAGATTTATTGGCTAAATGGCATGGTCCTGTGTATGAGGAAGGCATTTGTTTAATGATGGTACCTAGGTGGTTGGGAATACCATGGATGGACCATCAGGCATCTTCTTCCTTTTCACAGGAGCACAGCTTTGGCAGTTTTTTGGTTTTGAGGGTAGAACTTTCTACCCTCTAATAAGTATAACCTGTTGTGACACTGTCTGAGAAATTCCTTCTCCAGGGAACTTTTCCTAAGCATTGCTACTAAGTCCTATTTACCTCATGATAGTTCTAGTACTCAGGTATATAGTTTGTACAGGTGATGGATGTGTTTGGTTGCTTCCCTTTTCTCTTTGCTTATACCGAAGGTTTTCCAAAGGCAGAAAGGGTGACTTTCTGCGTATTCTTTCACAGTACCTAGTGCAGGGCTCTGCACACAGTGACTATTCAGTGAATATGGTTAGGTGAGCTGTTCTCCTCATACTACTATAGCAGTCCCAGGAAACAACTAAGAAATTGGGAGTGAGAGGAAACTTAGCCAAGGTATTGAGAAATAGGATTCTACAGACTTAGATTCTGTTTCCTTTATAGCCTCAATGTCTTAGTAGTTCATACAAGCACTGAGATTGTTGGTGCTTCCCTCAAAGCCTGGAAGTCAGTGGGAGTGCAGAAGTGCTTTTCCCATTTCCCCAACTAAAGCATAACATCCTTGCTTGTTGCCCCCAGACCAAGGGCCCAGCAGAGGAGGAAAAAGACCAAATTCAGTCCAACCTGGAAGAACCAGAGAGTGAACAATCCAGTGATGAAGAGAGGTATGGAACATGAAATCTCACTTCAGCGGTGTGAAACAGAGAGCCTTAGTAATGGCCTGGAAAGGATTCTCATCTCTGAGATGACTACTAAGGGCTTTTGTCTACAGGGAAGGAGGATGGATTCAGTAGCCTCCCAAGCTCATTTGTTGTTGCCCTAATGTTTCATGCTAAGCAGGGCTTTTTTAAAGTGCTGCTGCATGCCTTTGGAAATGACCTTGTCCATACTGCACCATTTGTGGGACCTGGGGTCTGGCCTCATTGTTGTATTAAACTGATTAAGCATTTCCACGTGTGGCATAGGGCCAAGGCTGGGATAGTCTGTGTGCAGAAGGGAAGCTACAGGGGGAGAGGGTCAACACTGACCTCTGAAACAAGTCCCTTTGACCTCAGGAATGACCAGGGCTCACAGAGGCAGTGGTATCCCAGATCTGAGCTATAGGAAATCAGGGGCTTTTACTCTGGGGAAAGGCCTGTAGCTTTTAGATAGCAAAAAACGGATTGATTCTCTACCTCCTTAAATCATAACTTCATGCAGTTTTGAAAGTGATGATCCCCTATGTCAGGTATATCATTTTCTCCCCATTTTCCTTTCCCTCTTCTCTTGGTCCCCACCTCTCTGATGTGCTTTAGAATACTGGGTACACACCCATCTGCCAGTATCTCCAGTCATCATTCACATGAAGAGTAAGTGTATCCCAGAAAAACTGATTTGTCTAAGAAAGGGCTGTGGGAAGCCTGCCCCCAAGTTAGAGAGTTGGGGGGAGGGATGTGCTGCAGCTCATCCATAAGAATCTTCCTTCTCCCTCCCTTGCCCTGTTTGCGCCACCTCCTTTGAGATGCTTTTGTCTGTGTGGGTCTCTGTGGAGGGGGGAGAGAAGGGAGCCAGGGGCTGCTGGAGGGTAGTGTGGTGCCTCAGGTGAGCCTTCCTTTGCCACTGTGCTCCCTCTCACCCTCTCTTTTTGACCTAAAATGAGAGACATGGGCCCTGATGTCTTCTTCATGACTAATAGTTGCCTTCTTCCTTCTGTGAAGGGAGAAAATCCAGAGCGTTTTTCATGTCCAAGGGGTAGGAGAAGGGCAGCATTCTCTGGAGGGGGAGCCTGGGGGGACAGTGGAACCTGAACAGAATGTGACAGCCAGCCCAACTTCACAGGCCTCCTCCCCAAAGAGGTAAGGGTTGGTTTGAGTCTTCTGCTGTGTCAACAGGGAGTTGGGGGTGGGGTGTGGTACAGAGATGGCAGCCCAGAGGATGTGCTAACCTGGAGCCTGGAAAGGGAAGAGTTAGATTTAGGTCTGTGCCATGGTGAGCAGCAGGATGCCTTGATGGAAAGTCACGTAAGATACCTATATGTGTGACTGGCATAGGAATCCTCTTTCTTTAAGGAAAGTAAGGAGTCTGGCCCTGTTTCTTCACCCTGCTCTGGATTTGCAAATGGTGCATTTATTTTCATTAGTGGAAACTTAGAAATTGTTGAATTAGAAAGTATCCTTTGGTCCCCCATCTCTTCCTTCCCACAACAGAGAGGTGGTTGCAAGCACTGGCAACTCTTTTAGTGATGCTGGAGTAGCTTCCCTTCTTCCTTCTGCCTGCTGCTGGAGAGGCAGCAGCACGTAGGGGAAAGAGGGCTAGACTTGAACCAGGACACTTATGTCGGAGTCTTAGCTCTGATGCTTAGTAGCATGTGATACTGGCCAAAGCACTTTACCTCTGAGCCTCATCTGTGACATGGGGACAGGACTGCTTGTACTACCTCTCTTAGGGTTAGTCTGGGGAAAGTGCTTTGTAACCTTACAGAGCTATATACATTTGAGCTATTATTCCTTCCTTTCTCACCACAGTATCACCACAGTACCTGTTATTTTGGCAGGACTCATTTTGGGAATTAGAGATGGCAGTCAGAGAAGACTTCCTGTGTCAGACCAGAAAACTGGATTCATAGACCATAGTCTTCTCTTCTTGTTCCTCTCAGAGGAACAAGAGAAGCAAGTTGTTTCTCTCAGAGCTTTCAGCCTTGGCTTTGAGACCATTGGTCTTGTTAAACACTCGTGAATACCTAAAAGAACTAGCATTCAGTCAGTAACATCAATTAAATTTGCCTGCTGTCTGCATAGTATCTCACTAGGTGCTGTGAAATTCTGTGTCCCAGATAGGACATGGACCTGCACTCTCTTACTGTGTCTCACGTTGCTGGGGAATAGGCACGGAGAGGGCTAAAAATCTGTAGAAAGCCTGGCACCTGTGGTTGGGAAACTGGTGTGCCATCTGTTCCAAATCACTTTTTTCTTTGTCCCTGAACTGAGTCCCAAGCTCCCTGTCCTTCTCATGCTTCTCTTACTTTCTTACTGATACAAAAGTGAACAGATCGTCAACCCCGCTCATGACTGCAAGACGGAAGAAGAGCCGTGTGCCACAAAGGCTGAACACGAGCAGAAGAAGGCAGAAGAACTCGAGGAGATGATGACCAGCCCAACCTTGCCAGGCTTCCGAGAAGAGTGAGGGCCAGTTTTAATCTCTCTCTTCATGTCTTTTGCATGTGGTCTGCCTGCTTGCCACATAAAGAATGGTTGTGTGTGTGGAACTTTGGGATGAAAGCTCTTCCATGGAGAAGCAGGTGTGTAGGGAGGTTTGGTGGTTTAAAGAGGTCCCATGCTGGAGGGAGAAGAGGAGTCATTTCTGGTCAAGCAGCTAAAAAATTTTTTTTATTAAATGATTAATTAAAAACTTAATCTTGAACATCAGTACATTCAACTAAACTGGCTTAGTATCTACATTTAAATGAATTAATTTCATTGTATAATTTAATCATAGCTTTTCAGTCACTCCTTCTGAGACATTATTGGGATTCCTTGTCTATCCTCATTCTTCTGGTTCTGCTTTTCCACTTTAAATAATTTCATAAAGGCTTCTTTGTACTTCTTATATTTGTTAGTCTTAATTGTATCATATTCTCTTACATGAATGTACTGCAATTTGTTTAACTGTTCTCCCATTACTGGATATATTTAGGTTAGCTCCAGCATAATTACATATAATGCTGCTGTGAACATCTTTGACAACTCTTCTTTTGTTTGCTTTTTTTTTTTTTAGTAACATTTTCAGGGAATATTCCCAACAGTGGAATTATTGGTTCAAAGGGTAGGATTATTTTTGTAACTTTTACTCTGTACAGCAAGAGCGCTCTCCAAAAAGATTCAACAAATTTTCTGAGCCACCAGCAATGAATAATTGTACCTGTTTTTCCACAACTAAACTAGCATTGAGTCTCATTGCTTTTAATTATTTTTCCTGTTTGATGAGTGTGACTTGGTACCACACAGTTGTTTTAATTTGTATCTCTTTGATTTTGATGAAGTTCAGCATTTTGCAAGTGTTTGTTAATAGCTGAAACCTTTTACCCAAAATGCTCTCAAATCCTTTGTCTTAGTTAATCTTCATAATACTCCTGTGAAGTAGGGAGGTCAGGTATTATTTTATGTTAAAACTCCCGAGAGGCAGTGTGGTATAATGGATAATGGATTTTCTGATTTTGAAATCAGGGAGACCTGGGTTAAAATTCTGGCTCTCACACTTAGTGATTTTATGACCTTTATGAACCATGAGCTTTGCCTGAAGCGTAACATTATTCACAACATAATAATCTGTGTTAGTAGAGGGAGTTCCTTGGACATTTTGACACAATAAAACTTTGACATTTCATGCATATATCAAATTATATAGATACTCCCTCTCCTGATGCAGATCGAAAGCCCTCTGCCTTGGTGGGTGGTTCCATAAATTGCTGTGGCCAGCCCTTGGGTGATGAGCCTCTTTGGACTTAGGCTTGTCCTCAGTTGCTCGACCCATCTTTGAAGCCTGTGTAATAATCACGATTATAATATCTCCCATCTACCAAGCACTTTTGCTCATAACATTTCCATGAGGTAGATAATGCAAGTTGTGACATACCCATCGTACAGATGAGGAAATGGCACAGAGAGTTTGGCAAGGTCATGTAGCAGGTTAGTGACCAGACAGGCCCCTCTATAGTTTCCTCAACACTTGGTGGTTGTCCAGCCATGGTGACCTTAACACCTCTCAAAGCAAACCATTATGTTGTACAGCTATAATTGCTAGGGCATTGTTTTTCTCTTACAATATCATGATTCCTATAGGAGTTGGAGTCCTTTTCATTGGGTCAGGCTGCAAAGTATATTTCTTTCTCTTTTTTAAAAATGATATTTTTACCCAGTTACATGTAAAGACAACTTTTAACATTCATTTAAAAAATTTTTAAGTTCCAAATTTTCTCCCTCATCTTCCCTCTCCCTGAGATGGCAAGCAATTTTATATAGGTTATATATGTGCAACCATGCAAAACATATTTCCATATCAGTCATGTTGTGAAAGAAGACATAGACCAAAAGGAAAAAAAAACACACACAAAAAATTAAAAAAGTGAAAAATAGTATGCTTCGATCTGTATTCAGACTACATCAGTTCTTTCTCTAGATGTGGACATATTTTTTATCATGAGTTCTCTGGAATGGTCTTAGATTATTGTATTGCTGAGACTAGCTAAGCATTCATATTTGATCATTGTGCAGTATCTGCAAAGTATATTTCTTTTTTTTTTTTTAGTCAATTGGGGTTAAGTGACTTGCCCAGGGTCACACAGCTAGTAAGTGTCAAGTGTTTGGTCTGAGGCCAGATTTGAACCCAGGTCCTTCTGACTTCAGGGCTGGTGCTCTATCCACTGTGCCACCTAGCTGCCCCAGCAAAGTATATTTCAGAGAGGCTAAGGAGATACAGTGACCACCCAAGACAGATTCTGAGTATCTTTTTCATGAGCGGAATGGGCAGTGAGGGCTAGGCAGAGCCCCTAAACTTAGTCTACTCCTCTCAACATAGCTGCATTAGTCATTCCTTCACCATCCCAGTTCTAGCTGCCACTCATAGTCTCTTTGTAGTATCTCAGTTGGATCAGATATTGGGAATTTCTATATTTTCCCTAGGACCTGCCATCTGGTCCTTTCCTGGACTCTTTTTCAAACTCCATGACTTTCTTCTAGTCAGCTTCAAAGTTTCATTGGGAAAAAACTTTTTTTTTTTCTGGAGATATTGAGGGCAATGACTGTCCCATTTATTGGTTCTGGGTCATCTGCCAGAGCTTTTTTCATCTCTGGGATGTCCAGAACTATTGTATTCTAACTTGATCAGATCACATCTAGAGTATAGGGTTTAGTTCTGGATAGCATATTTTTGGAAGGACATAAATAGCTAGAGAATTTCCAAATGAGGGTCACCAAGATACTGAAAGGTCCTGAGATCATGCTATATGAGAATCTGTATAGAAGGAACTGAGGATATATAGCATGGAGAAGAGAAGACTTGGCTAGGGGTAGGAAGCATGGAGGGGAGGATGTGATAGTTAGCTCTCTTCAAGTATTTGAGAAGCTATCATTGGTACCCAAAAGGCAGAACTAGGAATAATGGGTAAAAGTTGCAGAGGTAGATATTGATTTGATGTAAGGAAAAATTTTGCTAACCGAGCTATCCAAAAGTGAAATGGGCTGTGTTGGAGATAGTGGCTTTTCCCTCACTAGCGGTCTTCAGACAAAGGCTGTATGACCCGTTATCAAAGTATGTTGTAGAGGACATTCTTGGTTGGACTGGACCTTTGGGGGTTCCCTTCTAGTGTTGGCTCAGATTTTGTAATGTGGCTCTGACCCACTGCTTATGGTCTCAGACCTTGAGTGAAACCTTTCCCAAATCCAGACACTGGGGAAAGAGGAAGACTAACTAGAAAGTAGCCCTGTGTACGCTACATACTAAGGTATGCAAACACACGTGTATTTGCAGGCTCGGTGCACACTGACATTTTATCTGATGCTTCATCTCTTCTGCAGCATCTGTCCCTAGAGCCCCACATAGATAGCCCACAGGGGAGAGAAACATTAAAAGGTACTATCTCAGGAAAAAATGATGCTTTCAGCCAAGGTTGGAAATGAGTTGGAGAGTTGATGAGGCAGAGAGCTGCTGGGAGAGAGAGAGGCTGTTTCTGAGGGCAGGATTCTCAAAGGAGGGAGGTGGCAACAGCAGCCCATCTGACGTCTGCCGTGGTTGGACTTGCCAGGGCAGTCAGATGAAGCCAGTGTGTGAAGTGGGCCAAAAAGAGACTTGAGAAAGAGGAACCTGTGGTGTGACCCAGGACTACTCCATGGTTTTGGGAGATCAATCAACAAGAATCTTAATGATTTTAGCAAGAAGATAATATAGTCCTACCTCACTCCTTCATCAGGCATAAAGGGATCCAAGTTGTAATTTCTAAGCCCCTCAATTGCCATTTTTTCTCCTGCTATTCTGATCTGTCACCTCCCATCTGTTGTATTGCTGGAGCTGCAAGGAGGAGAAAGGGGGTTTTGAACCCCGTGCTTTCTAGTGTCATCCACAAGACTCATGCTGAGCATCTCCACTGACATTGACAGTTGATTCGGTTTTGGTCTTTTGGCTTTTTTCACGGGTGGCTGCTTAGGTCAACTTTGAGCCATTCCTATATCTTGAGACTACACTTAATGAGGTATGACTGAAAAGTCAAGAGACTGGTTTTTATAACAAATGAAACAAACAAACAGATGAAAAGAAACCAAGAGGAGCCTATCTTTATCCTTCCCACTGAATCTTGTCCAGATTCAAGGTCATGAGCTTGGAAAGAACCACTAATTCCAATATTATGATTGTTCAAAACATTTTTGGAATTCCTCTTTGAGAAATTTCAGAAGCCCAAGAAACTACAGTGACTCAGAGGAGGCAACATTGGTTTTGATGTATAATTTCTGATATTTTTGTTTAAAAAAATTACCTGGGAATGCCTTTCTCACTCCTCCATAAAAAGAATTACCCCTTGAACAGATGTTCAAGGGTACTGAACTGCCACAATTCCCTTTGCATGGCATAGTGGATGGAGTGTTGGCCTGGGAATTAAGAAGACCTGGGTTTGAGTTCTGGCATGGACATTTACTAGCAGTGTGACCTAGGGCAAGTCATGTAACCTCTCAAGGTTTCAGTTCCTCCATCTGTAAAATGAGAGGGTTGGACTTGATTGATGACCTCAAAGGTTCCTTTCCTCACTAAATTTATGATCCTGAAACCTCTTGCACTAGAAATGGTTTTCAGTCAGAATTCTCCTACACATGAGAAACCTTTATCCCTGAACTATGAGCAGGAAAGTTTTAGAGGTCCAGGAGTTGGGCTGTATACTCTGTATTGGGGAAATATCCTCCCTTTTTTCACTGGCTTTTTATATTGGGAGATAGAGGGCAGATTCAAGTAGACTGTTTTCAGCCTAATGATGTGAACCTCAAATAGCATGTCTCCTAGGTAGAGAGGGGAAACTAGCACTGGGTTATCTAGGGGTAGGATCAGCTAGTGATAATGCTTTTCTCTACCTCTCCTGCCTCCCCTAGCTAGCATATCTGCCGTTAAAGGGCATGAGTATCAAGTTTTCTGGGAATCAAAGATGTGCTACCCCAGTCACCTTTCTCTTTGTCCCTAGGAACTTGGTGTCTTAACCAGGGAGACTATTAGCATTGTAGACCAACTGTTTACTGAGTTGATTTACGCTTTGTCTTTGGACAGTGGGAGTTGTACTTTTGTTCCCTATGTGTCTTAGGTGTCTCGTATATGATGTGTATTTGTGTGCCCTTATAGTATGACTCCACATTTTGTATGCTGTATATGTGCTGTAGGCTAATGAGTCCATATGTTATACCATGTAACAATGTGTTACTCTCTGCCCTTGATAGACTTGTCCTAGAATCCTTAACCCCTCAGAGGCAGCCCTTAGGGGATTCCCTAAACGTCATAGAAGAGAAGACAGTCCAGGATCTGGAGCAGGAGCGAGCAAGACTGTTAGAGAATCGGAGACAGAAGATGGAGCAGCTGCGGGAGGAGCTGTGTCGAGAGGAAGAAGAGGAGATGCTGAAACTTGAGGAGCAGAAGGACAAGTCCCTCAGGTCCTATTCCTTCTTCTTGGGGAGGAAGCCTTCTGGGGCCTGGTCTTTGAGATGATATCGGCAGTAATGCTCATGTGTGGGGTGCCATGTTTCCTTTCTTCTTAGACCAGAGTTGCTCTTGGCCTGGGAAAGATCCTAGAATCCTACATTTGGAAGGGTCCCCAGAGATCATCTAATTCGGCTATTACCAGAAGCATGAATCTGCTCTGCAAACATCTCTGATAGATTCACTCATCCTTCTTTTGACCTCCAGTAACAGGGAACTCACTACTTCCCAATGGAGTCTGTTCCGCTTTTGGACAACTCTGATTGTTAGGAAGTGTTTCCCTATATTGAACCAAAAAGTCCTTTGTAATTTCTACCTCATTCTGCCCTTTGAACTCAAGTAGAACAACAAATCAGGTCCCTCTTTCACAGATATTTGAAGATATTCAGTTGTTTTGTGCCCCCTATGCGTTTTCCTCTTTAGGTTATACTTCTCCATTGTTTCAGCTGATGGGTGCATGATATGGTCTTGGGTCCCCTCACTATCCTGGTCTTCCTTTGTTTTACTTAACCTGAGGGTGGTACTCTAGATGTTATCTGACCAGGTCAGGGGTCAGCACATCACTCCACCTTTGGTTAATGTAACCTCAGATCACATTAACTCCTGACATGTTTGAATGTTGATTCATTGGGAGCAGTGGTGTAGCTAATCCCAGACCATTTATATTTGGCTTTGGAATTGATTCTGGTCCTTTTGGCAGCAGATTTGCCTCAATCATTTTATTTTGCTCAGCCCAATATTAAAGTGAGCTTGAATTTCCTGAGCATAAACCAGCTGACAGTGAAGAATCCAGGCAGCTTTAGAAGCATGTTATGTAAATTGGGAGAAGCCAACCTGAGATTAAACAATCAAAGGCTCTAATCTAAAAATCAGATAATCCATAGGTGGATAATCAAGAGTTGTCTGTCTTTGGTCTGGGATGATGCTGTTTTGGGATTAGGCAGCCAGCATTCCACCTTTGAGACAAGGAGTACCCCCCAAGTTATTCGTGCTTTCCTCTCCCCAAGAATTGGCAGAGGGAAGGAGCATGGTCTCAAATAGAAATAGATCCATCACTAATCTCTAGGAAGCTTCCCAGCCAGTCATCCCATAGGCTCACAGCAAGGCCCTGTGGACAAAAGAGGAAATAAATTTGAAGTCCTTGCAGCAAACTCTTTTATGTTTCTTTCAGGTGTCTGAGAGAGCAGCTCAAGAAAACAGCTGAGGAGGAAGAGGCTCGAGTGAGGGAAGAAGAGGGTCAGAAACTTTCCAAGCTCCGAGCTCAGATCCGAGCCAGTACAGAAACACAGGAGAATCAAATTAGGTGTGGATTGTACTGTGAGCCCCCCAGACTCCCTTGAGAACCCCTTGCCTCATTTTAATTGAGTTCCCTCTTCTCCCCTCTTCCTCAGCTCCCATCACTCAGGTGCCTTCGACCCCTCTCTCTTCCTTCATCCCTATCTGACATGATGAAGTGGTCATACTCTTTCCCAAGGTTAATGCCTCTTCCTGCTCAGGTGATCTTATTCCATCCCATCTCCTCCAACAGACTGTCCCCTCTGAGATCCCTATTCTGTCACTTATTTTTAATCTCTCCCTGTCTAATGGCTCCTTCCCTACTCTCTACAATCATGCCGATATTTCCCCTATTCTCAAAAAAAACCCCAACAACAAAACCCCCAAAAAACCCAATCCCACTCACCTGATACCCCCTGCTACCTGTTAGCCTATGTCTTTTCAGACCTTTGTGACTGAATTCCTTGAAAAGGCTATCCGTAATAGATGTCTGCATTTTCTCTCTTCTCACTGTCTTCTTCTTCCCTTACAATCTAACTTTCACCTTCATTATTCCGCTGAAACTGCTCTCTCCAAAGTTGCCAGTGAGCTCTTAATTGCCAAATCCAATGGCCTTTTTCCAGTCCTCATTCTCCTTAGCGTCTCTGCAGCCTTTGACACTGTTGATTCCTCTTCTGCTTGAAATTCTCTTTTCCTTGGGTTTTCAGGACACTCCTTTCTCCTGCTCTTTCTCAGTCTCCTTTGCTGGCTCATCCAGAACATGCCATCTAACTATAAGTGTCCCTCAGGGTCCTGTCATGGGCCGTTTTTTCTTCTCCCTGTATATTACTTAACTTGGTGATCTCATCAGTTCCCATGGATTAAATTATCATTTCTGTGCCGATGATTTTGCGGTCTACCTTTCCTGCCGACCTCTCTGTTGGCTTCCAGGCTGTCATCTCTAAATGCCTTTCAGATATCTTGACCTGGATGTCCAGTAGACATTTTAAACTCAATATGTCCAAAATTGAACTCATTATCTTTCCCCCTAAACCCACCTAGCCTCCCTGTTACTGTAGAGGCCAGCACCATCCTCCCAGTTCCTTGGCCTTCCAACCTAGGAGTCATCTTCATGATCACTCACCCCCCCACATCTAATCTGTTGCCAGGGCTTGTTGATTTCACCTTTGCAACATCTTTCATCTATACCCGCTTCTCTCCTCTGATACTGCCACCACTCTAGTACAGGCCTTCATCACCTTACACCTGTACTATTACAATAACCTGCTGGTGGGTCTACCTGCCTCAAGTCTTCTCCCCAACTCCAATCCATCCTTCATGCAGCCACTAAAGTGATTTTCCTAAAGTAAAGGTCCAACCATATCATCCCCCTACTCAGTAAACTCCAGTGGCTTCCTGTCCCCTCCAGGATGAAATATAAAATGCTGTGTCCTTCAAAACTCTTCATAACCTAGCTCCCTCCTACCTTTCCACTCTTCTTATACCATACACACCCACACTCCAAGTACCCTTCAGTGTAGTGAGACTGGCCTCCTTGCTGTTCTGTGAACAAGACACTCCATCTCTTGGCTCTGGACATTTTCTCTGTCCGTCTGTCATGCCTGGAATGTTCTCCTTCCTTTTCTCTGCTTACTGGCTCCCCTGACTTCCTTTAAGTCCCAACTAAAATCTCACCTTCTACAGGACACCTTTCTGGAACCTCCCTTAGTTCTAGCACCTTCCCTCTGTTGATTATTTCCTATTTTTCCTGTAAATATCCTACTTATTTGAATATATTTATTTATTGTCTCCCTTATTAGATTATAAGCTTCTTGAGGGCAGGGACTGTCTTTTGCCTCTTTGTATCCCCAGCTTTTAGCTGAGCACTTAACAAATGTTTATTGATTGATTGACTGCCTGAGAATGGAGTCTCTGGTCTCAGGAAGCTCTCCCCAGTGGTGCTCATGTCTTTCCCATTGTCCTCCTGTCTCTCCAGGGCAGAGCAAGAAGCTTCACTGAAGAAAATAAAAGAAGACTGGGAGTCATTGCAGAGGGCTGAGAGGTCTAGCCTGGAGCAGAAAAAGAAGCAGGTGCTGGAGAAATTTAAGGAGGAAATGGAGGGTAATGAAAAGAAAGAGAGGGCCCTCTTGGAAGAGGAGAATGAAAAAGCAATGAGTCAGCTGAAGGAACGACTGGGAGATGAAAGGAAGGAGGTGTGTATGTCTAATTAGAGACCTAATTAGGGTATGGAAGCTTTCATGTTAGTGAGTGTCCTCGCCCCTAATATGGAACTTCTGTTGGTTTACTCGATGAGGAAGAAAACAGGGATGAGGCCTAGGGCCCAGGTGGAGGCAAGGAGGATCAACCACTCATTTTTAGAGGTTGGAACAGAGTAGAGAATGAATGTAACCTACAAACGGATCTAGAGAAGGGTGACATGGACCCATTCAGCACGAGAAGCTCAGAATGGACCTGTCTGATCTCAGGGTTACCCTTGGGAGAGGTGGACTTGGAAGCAGCTTGAGAGTTCTTCCCTCAGAAGATGGGGACTGATCTTGGGACAATAGCCACAGGCGTGCCCTCCTCAGTGGTGGCAAATCAGGGTTGGGGAGAAATATCCTCATCCCACGATGATCCTATGATTGCCCCAAGCCCCATCCACCTGTAACTAGAGCAAAGTCTCTTGGGAGATTCTTCCCTACCCTCATCCCAGTGGGGTAGGTGAGATGACTTCACATTCATCAGAACCTGCTTGGCACACTTTTGTCTCTTCCCTCCTCCCTTAGCCAACTAATATTCTCCTCAGGTGGGTGTTAGAGTAAATAGAAGGCTGGAAGGTTGACCCATACTAGCTGTGCAACCCTGGCCAAATCACTTAATGTTCTAGGCAACTTTAAGAGAATCTGATGCTGAGCGGGTGCTGGTCTGTCTTGGGAGAGGAGCTTTCCTCATCTGGAATTCCCAGTACTAATGAAATCACAGGGTCCAAGCCACCCTTCCTTCCCTTCCTCCAAAATGGCAAGCTCTGTGGACCTTTATAGAGGTTTTCCCAGGGACTTTGGCCATTGGATTAGGGGAAATGAGCTCTAAATGGCAGCAATACCCAAAGCTTTGTAGCTCTTGGGAGATTTGGAGCTGGGGGCCTCAGGAAAGTCAGAGACTTTTTTTTTCATAAATTTGTTTAAACTCAAGAGAGAGATCAGTTTGGCTATAATCCTGCCCACAACTAAGAGAGATGAGTCCCTGACTTTTTGGATGCTTACTTGATTGTAAATTATAGAAACTGGAGGAGTAATTTCAGAGAAACAAAGAACCACATGTGATTCTTTAGGCCATAAGTTTATTACTATTATATACCATTTAACTATTTATAAAGCACTTGAATGTGTATTATCTTATTTGATCTTTACTATAATCCTATAAGATAGTAGTAAAGTAGTATTAATCTCATTTTATGGATGAGGAAACTGAGGCTCGTAGGGGTTAAGTATTTTGTCCATGATCATGCAGTTAAATAATTGTAAGAGCTGGAACTCAAGTCTAGGTCTTCTGACTCCAACTCCAGGGCTTTTTCTAATATACCATCAGGTAATGGTAAGTGGTTTTCTAGTCTAGTTCTCTCTCTTTGGCAGTGTCTGGTCAAGAACCCACCCTCCCTGCACTCTCTTATTGTTCTTTGTTGTTTTCCCCCTCCCCAGGCCATGGCAGCTCTGGAGAAGGAGCATGCAGGTAACCTGGAGAGGCTTCGAGCCTCAGCTGAGGAGAAACACCGTGAGGTGAGACTGTTCCTCATGACTGTCCACCCAGTCCACTAGCTTAGAGGTGGATGGAGGCTGGGAGATCTTGCTTCCAAAGAGTCAACTGTAGTGCCATTGGACACCGGTCACAATTTGAGTTGGCAAAGGAGGTCCCCCCTCAGTGTCCAGCCCCATTTCTCCTGGGTGTCCCCACAGAGCCTAGACCCCCGTATTCCATCAGTTGTCAGGTTATGTTGGTTCTAACCCCGCCCCCACATCCCTTAGAATGCGCTCCTCCCTCTCTCTCCTCTCTCCCTGCCATGACCTCGGTGGACTGGACTATTTACAATAGCGCTGTCCCTTTCTCAATTGTTTTTCTTGCTGCTATTTTTTCTCCTTTCCATTCCGTCCTTCATATGGTTCCCAAAATAAACTTCCAAAGCCACATGTCTGACCATGTAATCAATCTGCTTAGAAATCTCCCGAGGTTCTCTGATGGTCACCTCGAGGATCAAACACAGTCTCTCCAGCCCAGCATGTAAAGCTCCACAGTCTGGCTTCGGCCTGCCTTTCTACACTTAGGTCATATTACAGCCCTTCGCATACACTGTGCTCCAGCCAGACTGATCTTCTTCCTTGGACTTGGTTTTCCATCTGCCTCCCCTGTCCTTTCAGAGAGGGCCTGGAATGTGTGCTCTCACTGCCCTCTCCTTTTAGCATCCTTAGCTTCCTTTAGGGTTCCCTCCATTTAGGCACCACCTCTTATGTGAAACCTTTTCTGCTCCCCCAAGCCTCCAACTTGTTAGTGCCCTCTCCAGTGTTGTCATCTGCCCATGGAACGTAAGTGTGCAGTAGGCATCTACTTATTGTATTTATTTTATACTTTTTAAAAAAGGGTTTTTTTAAAAAATTTTCCCCCAATTACATGTAAAAACAATTTTTAACATTCATTTTTAAAACTTTGAGTTCCAAATTCTCTCCCTTCCTCCCTCCTTAGCCCCTCCTCATTGAGAAGGCAAGCAATCCGGTATCGGCTCACGCAAAACACTTCCGTACCAGCCATGTGGTAAAAGAAAACACAGACCAAAAAAAACTCAAGGAAAATAAAGTAAAAAAAAAAAGTATGCTTCAATCTGTATTCAGACACCATCAGTTTTTTGTCTGGGGATGGGTAGCATTTTTCATCCTAAGTCCTTCAGAGCTGTCTTGGATTGTTGTATTGCTGAGAAAAATAGCTAAGGCATTCATGGCTGACCCTCTTACAATATTGCCGTTACTTTGTACACAGTGCATTTCACTTTGCATCAGCCCATGCAAGTCTTTCCAGGTTTTTCTGAGAGCATCATGCTTATGATTTCTTATAGTATAATAATATTCCATCATAATCACATACCACAACTTGTTCAGCCATTCCCCGATTGATGGGCACTAATTCTTTGCTTCCAGAAATGAGCTGCTAAATATTTTTTGTACATATAGGTCCTTTTCCTTTTTGTTTTTTATCTCTTTGGGGATACAGACCCAGTAGTGGTATTGTTAGGTCAAAGAGTATGATGGTTTTATAACCCTTTGGGCATAGTTCCAAATTGCTCTACAGAATGGTTGAATCAGTTCATAACTCCACCAACAGTGCATTAAGGTCTCATCTTTCCCTTGTTCCATCCAACATTTGTCATTTACTTTTTCTATCCTATTAGCCAATCTAATAAGTATGAGGTAGCCCCTCAGAATTGTTTTAATTTGCATTTCTCCTACCACTAATGAATTAGAATATTTTTTCATATGACTATATATAGCTTTGATCACTTCATCTGAAACCTGTTCATAAAATTGATCATCCATCACTTGGAGAATGGCTCTTATTTTTATAAATTTGACTCAGCTCTCTATATGTTTGAGAAATGAGGCCTTTATCAGAGAAACTTGCTTCAAAATTTTTTTCACGGTTACTGTTGCTAATGTATTTCCCCCCATCCTATTCCCCCTTTCCTGTTTATTCTATTTTCTCTCTCCTTGCACCCCGTTCCTCCTCAAAAGTGTTTTGCTTCTGACTACCCCCTCCCCCAATCCACCCTCTCTCCTGTCACCACCCATCCCCCCTTCTCTTATTACCTTCCCCTTGTACTCTTCTGTTGGACAAAATAGATTTTTTAGTTTTATACTTATTTATGTATTTGTTGTCTTCCTCTGATAGAAGTAAGCGCCTTAATAATAGCAGGTATTTGTATAACTTTACAAGGTTTGCAAAGCTCTTTAGCCATATTATCTCACTTAGTCTTCACAACAACCTTTGTGTGAGGTAGGTGCTATTACCATCCCTGTTTTACCGCTGGGAAAACTGGAGCTGATAGAAGTTAAATGACTTGCTGAGGTTTACAAGCTAGGGTGTGTCTGAGGCAGGATTTGAATCCAGGTCTTCACGATTCCAAGTACTGCACTCTGCCCATAGTGCCTGCCATTTATCTTGAGGGCAAGGACTGATTCATTTTGTGTTTGCCTCCCTAGTGCCTAGTTCAGTGCCGGGCATGTGGTAGGCACTTGATAAATGACGATTGCTTGATAGGAGCTTGGTAAATGTTTATGAGATGTGCCCTTCCTGAAGGTAGAGCCAGAGTCTTCTCATAGCATCATCAATTTAGAGCTGGAAGGGACTTTAGAGCCCTCATTTTACAGATGAGGAGACTGAGGCCATTAGAGATTAATTAACTTGTCCCAGGTCACACAGATGGGGTTTGAACCGAGTTCCTCTGGCTCCAAGTCCAGCCTCTTTTTCCTACGCTGCCCTGTACTCTGCCTCCTCCTGCTTCCTTAGCACAGCTCAATCCTTCTTCAGGTCATTGCTGGCCTGAAAAAGCAGCTTGAGGAGGCCCATGGGAAGGAGGAGGCCCGGCTGCAGCAAGAGCTGGCTCAAGCAGAGCAGAGAATCCAGCAGAAAGCTTGCCGAGTGACGGAGTACGAAAGAGAGGTGAATACTGCCCTTGGCTGCCCAAGGGGTCGCTGCGGAGTGGCGTGGCAGATCCCTCCAGCTGCCTGCCCTGGGGGTGGTGAGCGGGCGGCAGAGTGCACCCTGGTTCATAGGGACCCAGAAGGACCCCCACTCTGCTTCATACTCCTTACGGCTCATTTTCCTCACATTTGCATGAAGCTTCCCTGGGTTCCCCAGACACTATCCCAAGGGTCTACCTTCCATATTCTGTAGTAGGAAGTAGCAGGGTGGAAGGATGGTCTGTAGGTTGAGACTTAGGCCAGGATGTCCCCTTGATGTGCTCATCCTGTCAAAGGTGGGTTTAGATACATGGATCAGTTTTTAAGCTGAGTCTCATAGACTCACTGCCCCCTTCCATCATAGAAACACCCCTGGCCTGCTGAAGGGGTGTGTTGGCAGCATCTCTGTTGTGTGTGTTCACCTGGGCCTCTGACCATGCCCAATGCTGCCCGCTTTAGCCTTTCTGGTACCCTGCAGCTCAGCGACCTCCTGAGAGAGAAGAGGGAGGACGTGGAGAAGGACCACGAGCGGAGGATGGACAGAATGAAGGAGGAACACCAGCAGGTGCTGGCAGAGACCAGGGGGCAGTATGACGAGGAGGTAACCTGCCTGCAGCTTCCCTGTGCACATGTCGCGTGGCCTTTAGTGGGCAGGGATCTGGGGTTAACTATTTGAGAATCACCCAGACAGTTGTAGCTAGAGAAAGAACATGTGGGAGATAAGCAGTGTTTGCTGAGCTCTTGGTGTATGGGTGGTGGTTCTGGAACTCCACCCATACATTTGCATGCACTCTGTGATGCAGCTGCCCTGGCCTGCCTCCTGTCCCTCATGGGCTCCTCCATCCTGCCTTTGGCCATTGTACTGGCCCTCTACCTCCAAGGCTCTCCTGCCTCACACTTGCCTCTTACTCCCCCTGGCTTCCTTCAGGACTCATCTCAGATTTCACCTTCTGCTGGAGGCCTTTCCAGGTCTGCCACCTTCCTCTCTGAGATGATCTTTTATCCACCTAGTTATTCACACGTCATTTCCCCCATTAGAATTGGAGCTCTTGGCTTGCTTGTATCAGTATTCCGAATGCTTAGCGCAGTGTTTAGCATATAGTAAGCACTTAATATATGCATGTCAACTGACTGACTAACTGATCTGTCTGCGATAGGCTTCCTCAAGGTAGTAGGGAACACACACTTCAGTGGGAGTCTTGAAGTACAGACCGGATGACCACTTGTCAATTGTGTTTATATGTGAAAATGAGCATGCTATTTTAAGTGGTCTACAGTGTTCGTTCAAGTCCTAAACCATTTGATTCTGTCATTGAATTATGGCCTGGAGGAACCTATCCCTCGTGCTGAGAGTGGTAGTGGGGGGAAGGGATGGGCATGAAGTTATTGAGGGTGAAGTGAAAGAGAATCGTTCCTTCCTCAAGTCCTTGTCTGTTTCAAAATGAAGGCAGTAGAAGGTTATGGGCGTCCGAGGTGTGTGTGTATATATGCACATGTACACATGTGTGTACATGTGCATGCATGCATGTGTGTGTGTGTGTATGTATATGGTGGGGGTAAGTATGCATATGTGGGAGTAGAGGTGGGGAATAGGCTGGGAAATTTAGATTCTTCCTCCTTGACCTTACCCTTTTCTTCTGTAAGAGTTGGCTTCAATGGTATTTACTGTATCATTGAACGTATTTGTCCAAGGTTGGGGGGAAATACTGTGGTCCATGTATCTATATATGTCTGTTATGATACTGTGACAACTCACCCCGTCTGACCCCTTCTTTCCTCTGGTAGGAGAGGAAGCAGCGAACAGATCTTCGGACAAACTTGGCAAATGAGATGGAGCGTGTGAGGAGGGCCCATGATCGGGAGCTGGAAACCATGCGGCGGGACCTGGAAAGGCAGCTCAGTGAAATCCAGCTCAAGCACCGAGAGCAGGTGAGTGAGGGGACCCCCTATGGAGACTCAGGAGAAGAGGAGATGTCCTCTCACATCGTAGTGCAGAGCTGGAGAGTTATTGGCACTTGCCTGATTGAAGGCAATGGCAGAATGGTATCTAGAGGAATGGTTCTGAGCCTGCTCTGTCTACTTTGGGGCTGGGAGCTTTTCTGTTTTTTTAATTCCTGGGTCAAGTGTTTTCAGAATACTCAGCCCTGCTCTCCCCATGCTTGTAGTGGCCTGGAGGCAGAGGCTTTGCTTCTCTTCTACCCCATTGGAAATAGAGTGTGACCCTCTTTGGGAACATGGCAGAAGGGAGATGTATGGGAGGAGGGGCCATCAGATAAGGCCAGGAACTCCGAGATCCTAATTACCCACCCCCCAGCTTCACCTCATTCCTTATGTCCCTGGCATCTTTATTTCATCTACCCTTCTGTATAGGAAAGGAAATTCCAAGATCTAGAATCAGAACTGGAAAGCAGAACTAAAGAGATTAAGGCCAGACTGATCCAGCTGGATCTGCAGGTAAGTGCCTTGTGGAGGAGAGAGCGCAGGGTGCAGGTCAGCATTCCCAACGTGCCTTGATTCTGGCCTTGCTCTTCCTAATGGGGGAGGCCCCGAGAGGTGGTGGTGGCCAGAGTCCCCATTGTCCCTTTAATCCCATCACAGGAGGACACCATCAGAAAGAAGAAGCAGCAGCTTCTAGATGTGGAGAAACAGATTGCCCTGGAGAGAGAGGTCTGTGTTACTCCATCTTTAGTCTCTCTCTCTTTTCCTCTTTTTCCTCTTCTCTCTGTTTCTCTCCCTCTCTCATTCTTTCTGGTCCAGTCCAGAACACTGGGATTCAACACCAAAATGAAAATGACTTTCCATATGGGATGGACACTAGGTGGTCATGGCCATGGTGGGGAAGGGAACAAGCCTTGTGGGGACCTTAGAAGCAGCAGAAAAACGTGTCTCCTTTCTGCTCTTTCCCCTCTTCTACCATACTTTCCTGCGTCCCATCTTCTAGGAGTATGGCTTTTCCCATAGTTCTCCTCTGCCTTTTCTCTGCTTTGGCCTCTAGAAGGCTCAACTTTCCTTGTGCCTTCAGGAAGCCATGTCCACCCACCAGCAGCTAGAGGAAGCGAGGAAGGAGCAAGCCCACCTGGTGGAGTCCACGCGGCAGCTGCGCCGGACCCTTGAGGAGCTGCGGTCTCGGAAGGCTGAGCTGGAGTCCCAGGTGGAGGTGCTTCAGGCCCGCAGTCAGAGGCTGCAGAGACGGATCAGGTGGGGACTCTGGGATGCCCTAGCCTGGCTAGGTGGGCACAGCCAGCTGTTGATTGCCACATCATTAGCATGGAAATGAAACAAGGTTAGATAGACTCTGACTGCTGGCCTCCTGGGGACATGGGGGCAGTGAGGTATTCAAACTGATAGGGCAGTTGCTGCTCTGACTCCTTGTTTCCCAAGGACTGTGTTGGGGCAGTGGTGTGTAGGATTTCCCCAGTCTTCACCCAGGAGCCCTGGGAGAGAAATGAGGGAAGTGAATAGGGAATAAATATTTATATAGCACCTACTATGTGCCAGGCACTGTAAGAAGTGCTTTACAACGATTATCTCATTTGAGAGATAGGTGCTATTATTATCCCCATTTCATAGATGAGGAAGCTGAGGCTAACAAAGTGACTTGCCCGGTTTCACAAAGCCCTTAGGTCAGATTTGAACTCAAGTCTTCTTGACTCCAGGCCCAGTGCTTTATCTACTACACCACCTAGCTGCTTCCAGAAATGAGTCTGGAATGCCCCAGCTCCCTCTTCCGAATCAGGGCTTACGGACTCCAGGTGTGACCTGGGACAAGACTTTAGCATGATAAGTGTGTTGTGTTCAATGTGTCAGTCAAGTGTCTGCTGAATGATGTGGGGACAGATGAACATGTTATCAGCCTATTGTTAACATGAATATGTCTCCCTTACCATCTGTTACAGTGACTTGGAGGCTGAGGCCCAGAGGAAGCAGGATGCTTCGAATGAGCTGGCTGTGGAGCAGACCGCTGCTGCTTCTCCCCATAGGGAAGGGGAGCTCCACCTGGAAGATCTAAGGAAGTCTGTTGGGACGGTGAGCTGAGGCCTGCTTTGGAGAAGGATGAGAAGCTTAGCTTAGGTCTGGAGAGTTCATTTGGAGGGACGGTGGCTCGGCTTTGTAGCCCTGAGATAGCTGAGTTTCTGCCCGGTCTGTGACTGTCATCGTATTTTTCTCACACCCTCTGTTACCTGTACCACCATACCTGCCTGACTTTTCCCCATTTCTCAAGTCAACTGTGATTTTGCACTGTCTAATCTGGCTAGGCATTTTCTTGAGTTAGCTACTCTCAAACAGGTCGAGAGTCTGCAGGAGATTTGGCAAAGTAGGTGCTGGGGGGCGCGGTGTGTCAGGACCATTTCTGTCTCTGGATTGGTGGACTTGGTGCCTTACTCTCCCGCTAGTATCCTTTCTGCTTTTTCCCTCTTAGACCCTGGATAAGGAGCTCCCTGCCACCAGCTCCCAGAACAATGAGGAAAGCACTCCCCGGTTGGATAAGTAAATATTGGGGGCACCCTTTATGCTCTGTATATAGTAGGTACTTAATAAATACTTGTGGAAGGAATCACCTCAAAGGAAGTTTACCACTAGCAAGGCTGGGGATAGGGGTGGGCTCTCAGAAGAGGACCGAGGAAGTATACTGGAAAGCTGCATGGCTGTCCATCTTTTTTCATCATTGGCATTCCAGGAGTTCAGAGTCCAGCTATATAAGGGAGAACTTGGGTTCCTGCCCAGTAGCCTGTGGGCTTGCTCCATATAGGGTCAGGAAGGAAGGAAGGGTTGATGACACCTAATGGCAGGACCCTGCACATCATAGTTATCTAGTGCTTCATGAGGTGCTGTGTAGGTCCTAGCGGCGGGGGTGGGGAACCTGCAGCTTGAGGTGCCATGTGGCCGCCCTTGTGGACCTGGCCCTTCTCTCTAGTGATTCTCTGCAAGCCACCCCCACCTGCAGGAGCTCCTGTCAGTGATCATGGACCAAGAGAATGTCATGGATCTGAAGGGCATTGGGGCTTAGCATGAGAGCCTTTCATCTCTGACTCTCACTCATCCTGGCCTGTCTTCCCACAGTGTCCGCCATTATCTCTCCTCTGAGGGCATGTCCCTTCGAAGTGCCAAGGAATTCCTGGTCCGGCAGACACGCTCTATGAGGAAGCGCCAGACGGCTCTAAAAGCTGCCCAGCAGCAGTGGCGCCACGATGTAGCCACTGCCCAGGTGACCTCTGAAGACTTGTCTAATTCCCATAACCTGGAAGATATCCGAAAGAACATAGAAGAGGTAAAAAGGCCTAAGGGTAAGGTGGGAAGGAAAACAGAGACCCTTCCATCTATAGGGTGGGACAGGTGGCTCTCAAGATCCGAAGGAAGGGATGGGAAGGATCTTGGGGCCCCTCTGAACACTGGGTCGGGAATATTTTCTCTGAGATGATCCTTCTAGATTCTAGGACAATGGTCTTGGGCAAGGATCCAGAGATTAGGCAAGCTAAAGCAGGCTTCCAAAGCATGGTAACATAATCAATGCATCTTCAGAAAATCTTTAAGTCTGTAAGAAAGATATCATGTTGATACTAGTGTATGGCTTTGAACATAACTGAGGTAGCTAGGGGGGCTCAGTGACTAACAGTGCTGGATTTGGAGTTGGGAAGACCCAAGTTCAACTCCTGTCTCAGACATGTATTGGTTGTGTGACCCTGAACAAGTCACTTAACTTCTGTCTGCCTCAAACTTCCTTACCTGTAAAATGGAATAATAATAGCACCTACCTCACAGAATTGTTGTGCAGATCAAATGAAATAACATGTTACAGCTCTTTGCAAACCTTAAAGTGCTATGTAAATGCTAGCACTTATTATTATTATTAGTATTATTATTATAACAGCCTTCAGCATAAGTTGATTCTGGGGCCCTTTCTTGCAAAGAATACTTTTCAGTAGAAGTCACAGACCATTTTGATATTGCTGGCGATGCAGACCCCTTTGGGATATTTCAGCTCTCAATCAGAAGGCTGATGCTACACTTTGCTTAAAACCAATAGCTTGTGATACAGTATGGATTAGAAAGGCAGGGAAGGTGACTGACCAAATTTGGGCTGATCACTTGGCATTGACAGAAAGACTGGCATCCCCTGGGCTGCTTACTGTCAGTCTAATGAATACTGCCACCTCTTCCCATTACCCATCTTCTCCCTCCCTTCACTGACACTGTTTCTCCTGGCCAGCTGCATCGCTCAGGACCCCATCACCACTCTGATTCTCTTTCCCTTCTTTTTAACCTTACTGCAGGAGACAAAGAACCTGGATGAGATGAAGTCAGCCATGCGCAAGGGCCAAGTTCTACTGAAGAAGAAAGAGGAGAAGCTGAGTCAGCTGGAGAATTCTCTTCGGGAAGAGGTACAGGCCCTCAGGTTCATGCTTAGGATAGAAGCTCTGTGAATGCATCTTCCTCTTGCTCAGATGACGTGAGTCGTATCTTCTGCCTTGAGGTAGCACGGTCTAGGGGCGCAGCATTTGGAGAGACGGCATGGGAATACTTGGGCTGGGTTTTGAGATAGGTGAAGGGAGGCATCATGCCTGGATCTGGAGTCAGAGGACCAGAAATGGAGTCCCAGCTTCCGTACTTGCTACCTGTGGGACCTCAGGGAATTCATGTGGCCTCTCTTGACTTCAGTTTCTCCATTTGTAAAACAGGGGGATTGGATTAAATGGCTCTCTAAGGTTCCATGATTTTTAGGAGGTAATGGTGGTCTCAAATGTGATTTTTGAGGCTGAGTGTACTTGTGGGCCCAGCTGTACCTGCTTAGTGATTCTGAGCACACAGCAATCCTCCCCCCCCATCCTCCATCCGTACTTTCCTGTCAACGGTGTCATCACAAAGAGATAATAACTGCCATCCATAGGGTTTTTGGAAAGGTGCTCTGTGTGCACAGCTGTGCTGGTCTAAGCCCCTGCTACTTTGCTGACCTGCCAGTGGCTAGATAGCCCTGAGGGTTTAGGTAAGAACCAGGGGAAGAGTCAGGTCATCTTCTGGGTGAAGGGTGGGAATCAGGTACAGCCAGGATTAGTGGTAGGTGAGCTAGGTAGCTACCTGGGATGGTGCGGTGGATAGAACACAGGACTTGGAGTCAGAAAGACCCGAGTTTGAATTCTTCCTCAGATACTTACTAGCTGTATGACCCTGGGCAAGTCACTTAACCTCCTTCTGCCTTGGTTTCCCCGTCTATGAATTGAGGATAATGATAGCACCTACCACATAAGGTTGTTAAGAGGATCAAATGAGTTAGCTTTTGGAAAGCACTTTGCAAACCTTAAAGCACTATAAAGAGGCTAGCTGTTATTATATACTATTGTTATAAATGCAGATATTTTCACTGCCAGAGAATTCTGCTTTCTGTGGCCTTGTAGGTATTTGTTTTGTGTTAAGTTGCATGTGTTAGCTATGGTGAAGGCTTAATGTCTTCAGCAAGACAGTAACATACGAGTAACGGTTTACATACCTGGGAAGGAATGGGAAGGTATGGGGGGGTGGGGCAGATCAGTGAAGATTTTTCAAATCTTGCCCAGAGGTGTGTGGATACTTTGTCCTGGCTCTGGGGTCAGGTCCTTTCACTTAAGAGAGCAACCAATCCCATATTGGCTACCCTTCCCGTAGGTGTCCCAGTAGAGTTGTCTTTTCAGGTTTCCGTTGCCGTTAGAGCAGCGAAGTGGTGTCCTCAGACCCCACTGGTCATGTGGGCAGGAGGGCATTGGGTCCATAAGAAAGACAGGTCCCAACTGCCTCCTTCTCCAACTAGCTTTCAGATGAGGACACACTGAGAGGAGTTTCTTATAGGAAGATGGTAACATTTGATGTTAGTGATTTTGAAGATAGCAGCAGTGCAAGCCCTGAGAGCTCTCCTCTGCCCCATGGTGAGTGGTGTCTGGCTGGGAATGGGGTGGTGACAAGGGTGGAGGAAAAGTCAAAGTATCCAGCAGCATTCATGAAGACTCGAGGGAAGGAAGGTTGAGTTGCCACCATCTAGCCCTCAGCAGTACCGAGGTTTCTGTCAGTCATCGAGATGTACTTCCTCACTGAAGTCTTTCCTCTCTGGTTCCCAGCTTTTAGAATTTCTCCTCTGTTTGTCCTGGCCATCCAATAGGCAGAAACACCTTTCACCTTTTCTGACCTCTCCTCTTTTACCTCGTCCTGGCATCTGGGGAATTGGCATCTGTCCTGGAGGCGTGGGCCCCATCCAGTCACGAGGGTGACTGAGCTGGGAGGGTTTTCTCTTTGGGTGGACTTTGAGATTCCCACCAGGTCAAAAAGCTGAAAAACAACTCTTGTTAATCTCTGCCTTCTTCCACAGACAGGAGGCCATCATGAGAAGCTAGAAACACTAGGTGCTTTGGGGGTGGTCCCTAAATTCCTCCTTTACTACCACCATCTTTTCTTTTAGGGGATCCAGTGTTAAACATGCCTTTCCTCCAGCTCAACAAGATCCAGTACCTGAGCAGCTCTTTACAGAGAATCACCAATGAGCTCAATGGGGTCCTGAGTGTCTTGGGCACCCTCAACATCCAGCCGTCACCTATCTTAACTTCAACACAAGTCCAGATGCCTCCCATGCCCTCCAAGACCACTCCCATCTCCACTCACCCTTCCATGACCAGAGTTTCAGCACCTACCCCTTTGGCTCCCTCCACTGGTATCCCTCTTCCCACTCAGTGGGCCTGGGACCCTGGAGTAAGCTCTGGGCTCACCTCTTCAGTTGCTCAGTCAGTGGACAACTTTCTTGTGGAGAAGTGGCATAAATATTTCCCAGGTAAGTTTCCCCAGGGCCCTGTTCCCAGTCTCCAGCTGATTTTCCCTACCTCACCCCTATTGATTATGCCTTCTTAATTGAATAGTTCCCTGGCTCATACAGGCAGTCCATGGGCTGTTTGGTGAAAGAGATCATGTTGGTCTCAAAATGAAATGAATCTGGGAAATGGAAATTTTGGGAAGCTATAGGCCTTCATGGGTAATTTGCCTGGAAGATAACCTGATGGAATGCTCTTACTGGATATTTGAGCTGGGAGGTCATCTATACCATCTCTAAGGAAGGATATCGAAAATGTCCCTGCTACCTTGGAGATATGAGTGCCTGGGGAATCCTCTCCCATTTTCCCATTGGAAAAATTAAATATTTGGAAATGAAATGGGAGAAGGTTTCCAGAAGAGGCATCTAGATTAGGATGGGAGTACCAGTTCAGGTTGGGTCCCTGCCTTTCTGTAACTATTTTTTGATGTTTTTCAGCTGGAGTCCCATTACTTAGTGGCACCCCAGCTCCTCTGGACAATAGGTTGGGCTATGTATCTGCCAGGTAAGCTTCCTGACCTCTTTTCTATAGTCATTCAGGCTCATTTCTTCCCAAGGGATGGGACCTCTGGGGAAAAGCAGATCTAGTCTGTCTCCCAAAAGAGATGGGGAGAGGGCCCCCATTAGCATGATTGCCCTCCCTGTCACATAGGTCTGGGTGATTTAACCCTATTCCACACCTGCTCCATCAACTTTCAGGGCAAGTTCCCACTGTCACTAAGACAGGCATCCAGTGGGAGTAGCTCAGTAGGAGGAAATCCACTGGGAGAAGCCCAGATGCCAGAGCTTACCTGACCCATCTCCAAAGGCTTTGCATTAGAGAACTCTGTCTCATAATAGCTGGGCATGAAAGATCAGCCCTGGAGTTGAACTCCTTCCTGCCCCTTGTGGCCCTTGGAGCCCAGCTCCCTTAGACAAGTCTCTGAGCTGTTGGCCTGCCCTGGTGCACCCTAGTTAATTGAAAAGCAACATCTGGAATAGAGAAACGAGAGGGCAGTTACTTAAGCCAATCGTTATTTTCTCATTCCTTGTTCATCCTTCTTTGCCAGTTCTTCTGCACTGCTCTTCCCCCCACCCGCCCCTGCCTGCATTTTTCTCTGCACATTCCTTCTGCCCTCAAAAAGCAATATTCTGGTTTGCTTCAGAGGGTGAAATGGGGTGGGTGCATCAGAGCACTTTGCTCCAGGACTGGCAAAAAGCGGACATATGAGCAAATCTAGATCCAAGACATCAGTGCCCTCCTAAGGGAGAAATATTCCTCTTTCCCCTCCCTGTTACTGGAAAAAAAAGATGCTGTTTGATGGGGAAGCTGGGAAGCAGTCAGGTCTTGTCAACTGAGGAGGCTTTGTGATGGAAAACAGATCCACAGACTGGCAGCAGCTTCTGGCCAGATTGCTGATGTGTTTTTAAATTTCCCCTCACTGGGGCACCAAGGGGGAGCAGATGGGGTCTGGGATGGAGGGGTGGGAGCATTCAGGCTGAGATGATGTTTCGTCTCTGCACTGAGCCCTGGAGTCTCATCTTCTTGCTTGGTTTCTTCTTCCTTCCTTCCTTTCTTTCTCTCTTCTCTTTCTCTCCTCACCCTGTGGCCCCCGTGGTTCAGTGAGCAGCTCCGCCTGTTGCATCGCTCCCACTCCCAGATCTCTCAGAGCAGTGGTGCCAACTTTCAAGGCATGATCGAGGCCAATAGGAAGTGGCTAGACCATATGAAGAAGGACCCCAGGGTGTATCCTTTGCCTTTGTATGTCCACATTTCTGGTGGGGGGAGGCTGGGATAACGGCGGAGGGGTGCTACCTCTACCTCTGGGGCGTTGGTGGGCATCAGAGGGCGGTCTTATTTCTCCTTTCCCACTTCCCATGACCTCCACTCCCTCTGTATCTTTGCTCCAGCCAACCTCAGCTTTTCCTTCACAGTGTTACCAGACCCCTCTTCTCCACCACACCCAAACCTTTGATTACCTCAGGCCTGCTGCAGCTGGACCTGGATGAAAACAACAAGCTGAAGGCGTATCGCTATTAAGGCCTCTGGGGCAGTAGGGCATAGGGCTCTCCCGGCGTCCCTTTTCTTAGACCAAGTGCCTGAGGAGCTTCCTGCACTTTATTGTCCCTGATCTATCATTCCTCTGCTATGCAAGCCTTACCCTCTCAGGACTTTGGAGGAAGGCATAGGAGTGATGATGGGGTAGAGGACAGTGGGAGGAATGTAGCAAGCCGCACCCTCTGAGAACCCCATAATGTATCCTAAACGGAAAAATTTTGAGCTTCCATGGCCCATTAGGGTCTGCATTATTATGCCAGAGCAGATGAGATGGGGCTGACAGCCCCACTGGAGGAGGGGATGGTGGAGCTGGGGACCTGATATCAGAAAGCCAAGAGAACCCCTTCAGGGAGTGGTCTAAGCCCTACCAGTGAGCTGATTCTCTTCCTCAGGTCTCTAGGGTATTTTGGAGAGGTCCAGAGTAGCCAGTTTTGTAACTGGCGAGATTTGTAGATCAGGGTGTGGATGAATCCCCTTTCCAAAGCATGTTCGCCCCAGGACTTGGTGCTTCTTGGGGACTAGCTCTGTTCTGAATCTGTTTCCTTTGAGCTAATACCTCAGCAGTAGGGTACCACGCCCTCTGTTTTTTTTTAGTGATTCCTTTTTAGCCCAATGACTTGGGCTGTCTCAGGTTTGTGGTCAGCTTTACAGAGCCTTTCCCTGAGGCTGATTGATGTGGGGTTCCAAGAAATGAGGCAACTATGAGTCTTCCCCCATCTTTGCTATGCTTACCCCATGTGACTGAGAGAATCACTTTCCACCTTTATCTCTGAGTTCTCACCAACAGAATGGCCCTATCCTTGGGCTTGGGGAAAGGAAGACTTTGGGAATCAGACTCCATGGGAAGATGAAACCAGGGTAGACCTCTCTAGGGATCCCATTCTATGACCCTCAGGCATTAAGGTTATGGCTTCCCCCAAATAGACAGAAAGCCATTAGAAAAGTGGATGGGGTTGTCCTCAGCCTCATTCCAGTCATCTTTTCATTTCTCAGGTCACCTTGAGTATTTGTAGCCCTTGCTTTCCTCCTACCTTTTCTCACCAAGCTTGTTTGGATAAACACATTTGCATTTCAGCCAACATCCTTTTTTCCTCTTCCTGCCCCTCCCCTCTAATCTTTGAGTTTTGCTGTAGACTATGAGGTATCTTGTACCCCCTTGAAGTCTCTGCATGAAGGGGTGGGGCAGGAGAGGAGAGGATGAGCAATCTGAGAGGGGGTCTGGAGCCATCTTGGCACTGGGGACAGGGTTCCCTGCAGGTCCCCTTCAATCAGCCTTCAGACAAATGGTCTCCTTGATGGGGTTTGGTGGCGACTTTGTTCGAGTTTGGCTCACTGTTTGGAGGAAGTCTAAGGCTGTGGAGTTGTGTTTAGCACTCCTCAGCATGGAAACCAGCCTCTCATCATCTTTGTCATGGAGCAGAAACCTGGGGATTAGGTTGCTTTTTAACCTCTCCCCCCACCCCCCAGGCACTGCACTGAGGCACAAGCCCTTCCTCTCAGAGGAGACCCTTTTGTTACTTGACTGATGCTGTGTGGTTTAGGAATGACTCGTGTGTGCTTAACAACTGTGGTGACAATCCAGCTCGTCTTGCCCCGTGTTTTCTATATCAATTAAACCTCCATGGGTCATTTTTCTACAACTCTGTAGTGTGGATGGTGTTTCTTTCTCTGTTGTCACCTCCTTCTTTGGAGTGCTGGAATGAAGGGTGGGTTGAGAGCGTGACTCCTTCATCTTGGCACTTCCTCTGCTTCTTAGGAAGTGGTAGAATTCTTGTGCCACCTTGACTGCTGGAGCTGTGGTCTGGCCCAGTTCCCCAGTTCTCTGGGGGGAGAGACATGAGCTGACCTCTAACTGAGGCTAGGAATTCCCCCTTCTGTTAAAGCAAATGTGAACCCAGAGAAATTGCTCCTTCCTGGGGTGTCTAGGAAAGACTGGGGGGCCTGCACAGCTGTGAGGTTCTTGAAGGGCCAAGGGGGGTTTGGGTTGAATAGCTTGTGGTTAGTTGAGTTAGCTCACCCTCCCCAGAGGACTTCTCTGCTGTAATCATCTCCCAAAGCTGTCCTTTGGGTCCCCAGGATCCCCATCATTCATAAATGCACTTACTCAATGTATTTACCTATGCAAGCTGCTATGGAAGTTACAAAGTTGTAGAAGGCATGGTTCCTGCTGTTAGGGGGTTTATGTATACACAACACAAGGTAGCAGGATGTTTTGAAGCTCTCTAAGAGGCTGGAATGGTGGGCTAAAATTAAGATGAAATTTGATCTGAATAAATATAAAGGCTTGCACTTGGGTTAAAAACCAAAATCAGTTGTGCAAGTAGAGAAGACATGAGACCTGGCATTGGTTTATGGGAAAAGGACCTGGGAGTTTAAGTTGACTGCTAATAGAATATAAACCAGCGGTGTGATACCGAAGTCAGAAAGGCTAATTTGGTCTTAGGTTGCATTAATAGAAGGCATAGTGTCTAGAATGACAAGGGTACTGGTTTTCCTTTGGAGTTTTGTGTTTAGTTATGGGAACCACATTTTAAGAGACACATTATTAAAGGAGTATGTTCAGAGGTGGGCCAGAAAGGTGCTGAGCGGGACTCAAAATCATGTTATTTAAAGGACAATTGAAAGAACTGGATAGAGAACTGGGCTTGGAGTCAGGAAGACCCGAGTTAAAAACGTACCTCACACTTACTAGCTATGTGACCCTGAGCAAATCACTTAACTTTTGTTTGACTCAGTTTCCTCAACTATAAACTGGGGAGAATAAAAGCACCTCTCTCTTAGGGTTGACATGTGAGGTATTTGTAAAGGGCTTAGCACAGTGCCTGGCACACAGGTGGGCGATATAAATAAAAATGCTTATTCCCTTCCCCCTTAAGGAAAGTCTAAGTGGGGAACATAGCTGGCTTAAAATATTTGAAAGGCTGTCATAGAGAAGAGGGAATGGATTGTAACTCTTTGTGGCCACAGAACAGCACTAGGCATAGCAGGTGAAAGTTACCAGGAGGCTGATTTCAGTTCAGAATAAGGAAAACCTTTTTTCAGAGCTGTCCAGCGTGGCCTCGAAGACCACCTTGGCTGTCATCTCGCTGTCCCTAGAGGTGTTCAGGAAGAGGCTGCATGAGCCCAGGGATGGATTAATTGGGAGACTGTATTTGATGGCTTTTAAATTCCTTTCCATTTCTTAGGATTTGCTGATTCAATAAATGCCCTGTGAGTGGTACAGACAATAAATGTTCCAGAATTTCAGAATGATTGACAATCCAACTCCCACATTTGTCTCCTTTTGTCTCCTCAGCCCCTTGTAAGATGGGACCCCACGTGAATACCTCCTAAGCATGTAACAAGTATGGATTTCTTACTAGGCAGGGTCAAGGGTGCACGTGTGTGTGTGTGTGTGTGTGTGTGTGTGTGTAGAAGGGACTTGATAAAGAGGAAAAAGTTAACTATAGTCCTAAGGTATATAATTCTGTCACAGAATGGATCAAGAATGCTTTGGCTGTCAGCCTTAGTTATTGTGTCCAAGTATTTTGAGTTTACTTAGGGCACATTTTTAGAGCCATGCTCTCGGCAACTCTCCCTATTCTTTTTTTTTTCTCTTGGCAATTGGGGTTAAGTGACCTGCCCAGGGTCACATAGCTAGTGAGTGTTATGTGTCTGAGGTCACACTTGAACTCAGGACCTCTTGACTCCAGGGCCGGTACTCTATCCACTGCGTCATCTAGCTGCCCCCCTCCCTATTCCAAAAAAGATTTTGGCAATGACTTTTGTCCCTGGAGTGGCATTTGAGTACCTAAGAGTGGTGCTAGATTCTGAGGCCAGTGGGGAAGACAGAGATGAATGCCGAGTCTATCTGGTGTGGTATAATAGACCAAATATACTGGAATTGGAGTCAGCAGACCTGGGTTGGAATCCTGGTTTCTTATTGCCTATGTGACCTTGGGCAAATCATTTAACTTCATTTGCCCCATTTTCCTCACCTGTGAAATGAGGGGGTAAGATTAGCGAACCTCTAAGATCCCTTCCAGCTCTAAATCTGTGATCCAAGGATGCTCTGGAAACAGACTCCTGAGGGACACCACTGCTGGGTCTGCCATGTGACATATGGCACTGAAGGGACCCTTTTAATAGTGAGCAAACCCCACTTCTCACACCGAGGCTATAGAGCTACTTGCTCCCTATTCTGGCACGTTTCTTTTTTTTTTTTTTTAACTAGACCTGTCACGGCTAATTCAGAAATACACTTTGCATGTATAATGGGTATCATTTTTTCTTGCCTTCTCGGTGGGTGGGAGAAGGAGAGAATATGGAACTAAAAATAAAATTAAAATAAAAAAATAAACTAAACCTGTGATTTCATCAGTGTAAGGTGTTCCTGGTGAGGAACTTCCTCTGCCCAAGGGATTTGGCATCTGCTCTGTGATTCTAAGGGTTGCCTGGAGCATTGAGAAGTTAGGTGCCTTTCCCAGGGTCACACAGCTAGTGTGAGTTAGAAGCAGGGCTTGCATGCAGGTCTTCCTGACTGAGACCAACTTTCCACACCTTTTTTTAAAAATTTGAAATATATGTATTTTTAACACCTCAAGTGTTAACAGTGTTGGAGCTGGAAGGAAGCTTTAAGCATCTTCGAGTTCAGGAATTCTTAACCTGGAGTCTGGGAATTGGTTTCTAATTTGATCATTGTACTTCAGTATAATTGGGGGTGTTTGGTAATTCTATGTATTTTGTTTTATGCATTTAAAAACATTTTTCTTAGAAAGGGATCTATCACTTATGATGAAAAATGCTCTCCCTCTCCAGAGAAAGAACTAATGGAGTCTGAATGCAGATGGAAGGATACTTTTTATTTTTCTTGTTTTTTTTTTTTTGTCTTTTACAACATGACTAACATGGAAATATGTTTTGCATGACTGCACATGTATAAACTGTATCAAATAATTTACCTTCTCCATGGAGGTAGGGGGGAAGGGAGAGAATTTGGAACTCAAACATTTTTAAAAATGAATGTTAAAAATTAATTTTTACATGTAATTGGGGAAAGAATAAAATATTAAATTAAATATAAAGGAGTCCATTCACAGACTTCACTAGGTTGCCAAAGGGGTTTAGGAGCTCCTGCTCTGGTTCAGTTCCCTAATTTTAGAGGTAAGGAGAACAAGGCTTAGATTAAAGTACTTATGTAAGGTCACACGGGGTACTGAGCAATGTCTGGAATTACTCTCATGGAGTGACGGATGAGGAAACTGAGGCTCAGAAAAGGTAATGTGATTTGTTCAAGGTCACATTTGACAGGTTTGGAATTAGAATCTGTGTCTCCTAGCTTCTGGTCCAGTGCAGTTCTCATTAATTGGCAATTTTAGGGTAGTTCACTCTGCCGTGTCCTATTTTTACCTCCCCTCCCTGCCCAAAGCCCCTACCAGCCAAAAGCAGACAGTGCTATTTCCCAAAAGCTATTTGGCATTGCCTTCCTTCCCTCTCCCCTTAAATATAAAATGAACCCTGAAAAGTCCTAGGCTGCCAAAGTTAGGATGGATTTTTTTTTCTGTTTCAGCGGAGCAGCCTGCATGCATCCTCAAATTAGTAGCAACAAATTTTCAGGGAAACCCAACACAGACGATCCTATGTTATCGATCTGCACCCAGAAAAGCAGAATTTTAGAATTCGCCTCCATTCCTCCCTAGGCTGCTCCAGCTCTCACGCTGAATAGGGGCAGTGTTTGCTATCCCCTGATATATCCTGGCCCAGTTTTTTTGTGTGCCAGCTGTTCGGGAAAGGTCTCTTGCAGGCTGGGTCAAGAGGGTCAGATCCCAGATAAGGACGTGCTTTCCAGGAGTGGGACTGAGGTGTATTTGTGAGCTGTGGCCGTAAGAATTCAGGTTCATAAGAGGACTTTTTAGGGGGAAAAATCAGTTTTATTCTCTGCCAGAGAGTATATGTGTGTGTATAGGGCCTCAGAGGCCATCTGGTCTATCCTGTACTGAACAAGGACTCCCTCTTCACAGAGCTGGAGCTAGAAATTCTGATACCTGGGGCAAATTCAGTAGGTGGGATGCAGTGGGGAGCAGGGTGTCTGAGGTATGACCACTTCTCTTTTTGGTTGATTTAGAGGTGTAAACAGAAGTCGTGGAAGTTGACAAGGTTGAAGACATGTGAATGTTTGGAGGGGCTGGGGTTAAGGTGGAGAAAAAGATTGTGAGGCTGGTACTGAACTTATTGGGAAAAAGAAAAAGTAACTCAGAAGTACATAGATGTCAGTACTAAGGAGCTAGGTAGGATGGAGAGAACTTTAAAGGTAATTGCTAGGTGAAAAAGAAGAGGTCATGTTTGAAATGGCACTGTATGCCAGCTCTTCCTCCTGGACCTGTGTGTCCATGCTTGGGAGAGAAGGAACAGTCATATTTGGAGAAGATGCCAGGCACTGTGGCATCTTCAAGAGTGATCGAGCAAGCAAGGGGTTACAGTTGAGCCTCAGAAGATGGAAGGAATGTGAAACAGATGTGGGATCGTAGATTTGGAACTAGAACTGACCTTAGAAGTCTTCTTGTCTAACTCATTTTATAGATAAGGAAATTTTATAAGGGAGAGAGAGGGGGAGAGAGAGAGACAGAGAGAGAGAGAGAGAGAGAGAGAGTGAGAGTTACCT